GCTGGGATTGTGCCACCTTGGGCAAGGTAGCGACCAGGAAACAGCAGTTAATGCTGAAACACATACTGGGATTGCATCCTGGTTCTCCATTTTACCAACTGAGCAACCTCGACAAGTTAATCAACCTGTTTGCACTTTAGGTTCTTCATATGTCTAAGAGATGATAATTCATCTTAGGTAAAATGAGGCAATATGTAAAGTACCTAGGACAGCACTGGATATATAGTAGAGGCTCAATAAATAGTAACTATTCTTTTTTTTTTTTAAATATATTTTATTGATTTTTTACAGAGAGGAAAGGAGAGAGATAGAGAGTTAGAAACATCGATGAGAGAGAAACATCGATCAGCTGCCTCCTGCACATCTCCTACTGGGGATGTGCCCGCAACCAGGTACATGCCCTTGACCGGAATCGAACCTGGGACCTTTCAGTCCGCAGGCCGACGCTCTATCCACTGAGCCAAACCGGTTTCGGCAATAGTAACTATTCTTATTAGTATTACAATGTAAGGCACAATGCTGGGTACTGTGCATTATAAAGACCAGAAGTAAACAGATTAGGGTGGTAGGTCTTGTAACCTTGACCCTAAAGGCAGAGGATGGAATCCACATGCTCAGTGAAGGTCCCTTTTAGCTTTAGGCTGTGATTCTATACTTTGAAGTTGGCACTTAGAAGCCAACAATCATACCCTGGCCACATTGCAGCAATTCAGGACAGGTGGTTGCTTAGTAGTGTTACCAAAGCCTAAATATTAGGGATCAACACCTTTAAAAATAATTACAGGCCCCAGCTCAGCGGTTCTCAACCTGTGGGTCGCGACCCATTTGGCGGTCGAACGACCCTTTCACAGGGGTCGCCTAAGACCATCCTGCATATCAAATATTTACATTACGATTTATAACAATAGCAACATTACAGTTATGAAGTAGCAACGAAAATAATTTTATGGTTGGGTCACAACATGAAGAACTGTATTTAAAGGGCCAGGAGGTTGAGAACCACTGCCCTAGCTGGTTTGGCTCAGTGACTAGAGCAGCCGTGGGCAAACTACGGCCCGCGGGCCGGATCCGGCCCATTTGAAATGAATAAAACTAAAAAAAAAAAAAAAAAAAAGACCGTACCCTTTTATGTAATGATGTTTACTTTGAATTTATATTAGTTCACACAAACACTCCATCCATGCTTTTGTTCCGGCCCTCCGGTCCAGTTTAAGAACCCATTGTGGCCCTCGAGTCAAAAAGTTTGCCCAGCCCTGGACTAGAGCGTTGGCCTGCAAACTAAAGGGTCCTGGGTTCGATTCTATTCAAGGGCAGGCTCCATTCCCATTAGGGGGTGTGCAGGAGCAGCCAATCAATGATTCTCATCATTGATGTTTCCATCTCTCTGTCCTTCTCCCTTCCTCTCTGAAATCAATAAAAATATATTTTAAAAAAGAATCAACGGTAGGGAATGGCCCAACCAAGCAGCCTTGGTTTCTAAACTTAGGACTTGTTGTTGCCATTTGTATTTTCATTGGAAGCAAAACCTCTAATTCAGCCTAAAGCTGCTATCATTAGTCATTCAAAGGTGTGGTATGATTTTGACTAGAAGCTGGACTAGAGGCTCCGTGCAGGTTTGGGAGCAGTTACACTGTTGTGGTTTGACTAACCTTTTTTATGAGTGTGTTACTAAAGAAACGTGAGCTGTTGGCTTTTCAATTACTGTAGCTTACCCCTTCTGAGTTTCATACACATTGAGTCATCGAGTCTACAGGTGACTGATAATCATCTGCACGACTCAAGTTACCGTAACCCAGAGATGAGGGGATCTGATGACTGCAGGGTGCGTGCACGTGAAGATCTGAGGCTCTCCCATCCTCTTCACAATGAACAATGGTCTGCGTTAACCGCAGAACACAGTCACCTATTTCCACTCATCCAGGGGTTCATTTTCCTCTTAATGTTTTGCCTCTTACAACTTTAGCACTCAGCTGTTCTCTGACATGTGCTGCAGGGGGTATAGATTGTGAAATTGTAGGCCTGATGAAGTATAACCAACTCTTGGGAGAAAGGATAGAAGCAGAGTTTGTGTTGTACCTGCCCCACCCTAGAAAATGTATGGAGCCTCTTTGTTTGGAGAAAAGATAAAAAGATTCTCAGGGACCCCTGGTACGGGGAGTTGAGTGAGCTAGCCACACTGGAAAATCATCAATAACCTTGAAAAAGCCAAGAAACCAAAGTTCATCACTTCTGTGTCACTCTTAGGGGAATGAACAATTGTGACCTTAGCTGGCTTTCCTGTTGTCAGTCTCATTCTTCCAAACAGCCTTGATCAAAGATACATCTGATCTGGAAGCTGAAAATAAGAAAGCAAATGTCTGCTTTTCTGTTGCTTTTTGTTGAGTTGCCAAGGCAGGATGTTTTTCTTTGCATATTTTTTCTCTCAGGTATTTGTCTAAAGTCTATCAGGTTGGCCTTAAGGTAGTGGGGATGCGGGACAAATCCATTTGATTACATTAAATCTTTTAGCTGGTCTTTCTGGCTCCAGTTCTCTATGTTCTGGTTCATCTTACACATTGCTGTTACATTAATATCCTGAAAACAACATTTCAACCACAAGCCTCCCTTGCTCAAGGGCATGACGTGGTTTGCTGTTTATTCAAATCCAAACCTTATGGTTGACCATTCAGAATGCCCATCATGTGGTCCCACCATGTGTTGTCTTTTTTCAGTATCTCCCAAAATGTGGGATACAAAGTGCCAGGAGGCCCACAGGCCTTTTAAAAACCTTGATCCACGTGGCAAGAAATTTATTTTCTTTTTAGTTCTTTTTCAGTCTCCCTGATTATATCAAGAAGAAAGATTGAAACTTATTTTAATGCTAGTCGTTGAACACTCTTGGTGATTTCTGTTTTGAACAAAGACAGGGTGGATCTTTGTCTCAAGTACTCACAGTAGAGTCTGATCAAAATTGAATTGATTACTCTGTTTCATCATCTTTATTTTTCATAGTTACCTTCTTTTTGTGGCAAGTGATTCTGGTTTTCCATGTATGTTAGTGACATAGTTTTCTTAAAAAACTGATTTATTTTAACAAAAGAAAGAAAGGAAACTGATTCAAACAAAACAAAAAAAACCCTGATGTTTACCAAGTATTTTCTGTGTGCCAGGTTCTGTTCTAAATGCTTACCAGGGAGTCTTCGAGGTAGATGTGATTATTATCCCCGTTTTACAAGAGGACTTGGAGCCATAGAGGTTAAGTAACTTGCCCAAGGTCATGCAACTAGTAACTGATGAGCCAGCATCAAATCCAGTCCATGTGACTCTAGTGTTCATGCTGTCAACCACCACACCACCCTAGTGTGTGAATATTGCAGAATGTGAAGGATTAAGTGAAGCTTGAGAAATACTTTATTTCATACGTCTGATATTAGCTATATCCAGACTTTAAGTCTTCCCTGCTGTAGACCCCCTTTTCTACCTTCATTCATGCTTCTCCCTCAATTAGGATGTCCCGTCTACCTCTATGAAAAAATTAAAATCCTACCATTTCAAGACTCTTCTCAAAATTTAGGTTATCCAAGAATGATTTCCCTACCTCAAGCATTCCTGAAATGTTTGCATTAATTTAACACTTAAGTAAATGATTTGTACCAAACCACCTTGCCTTATAATTCTTTTTACAGAAGACACATTACTCTCCTGCTTAAATGCTTCAAACATGGCATTTAGAATAAAATCAAAGGCCTTCATAGGGCACATCCCTTTCACAACTTTTAGCATTTTTCTCCAGTTCCATACATACAGATCTTATTTCTCTCCTATTAGGTTGGAAAGATCTCAAGAAAAGGAACTTGTTCTTCCAATCCTTTTGTTTTCTTATATTGGCTTTTCATTGTTGAACCCTTTACTGTCTGGTGGTGACAAATTTTGGAACCACAGCATGCCTAGGAAATGTTACAGAAGAGAGGATATGGTTCAGCAAATCTCTCCAGAACCCAATGTCTACAGAATGAAAAAGCATCACATTTATGCCCACTTCCAGCTCTTGACACATCTTTCCCGCTTTTCTCCCTTCGACCTGCCACTCACCACTGAGCACATCTGTCATCTCTGTAGGCCCCGCTCCTGCCTTTCCTGTGGCCAGAGAGCCTTGGTTTTCTAACACACAACACCCACACGCCCTAAAGGTGGCTAAACTCTGTTTTCAAAATCTCTCAGCAGTTTGACATGAGAAGTAGGAAAGGGTGACCACAAATAATTTTTTCAGTTAAGTGTGAGATAGGTCCTAATGATCACATATGTATTAATGATACCTTTTTTTAAGCAAAAGAATCACACACTTTATGAAAGGGACAAAGATCATGATCTTTCATCAAGAAAGCTTTTCTAAAACTTTCTACATTTGAAGCTCTTAAATCTCTGTCTGGTGACTGATGTGTTTGGGGAGTGGCAAGTATAGGGAGTGGGGAGTTTCTGGAGCTATTATTTCTACCTCTGTAGCTATTTTAAAAGCTGCAGGCCAGTCATAGATCACCCCCGCTTTTGGCAATACGTCCATCCCCCTGGCTCCCTTAGTGTTACCAGGAGAAAATAACAAGCAAAATAAAAGTTGGGGAATTGACTGTGTCTTAGTAGTTCATGCACAGAAGTGCAGACGCCCCGGTGCCCCTGCACAAGGAGCCCCCACTAAACCTTGTCCTCGTGTTCTCTCGCTTCATTTCCTCCAGAGTTTCCCTCTGACAAGAGCAGTGGAAACAACTCACATTGTAGTTTCAACGTAATGACATCTCTGACTCCCCCTTTTGCCTGCTAACCTAATTTATGTGGACTGCCCTAACGTGTGCTGTCAACCCCTGTCCCCTGAGACTTCAGCACCGTATGGAACCACTCTGCATGGGTTGGGTGTACCTGCAGGCAACATGTCCTTTCTCTCTTTTCAAGGACTCTGGAAAATCATTTTATAATTGCTCTGCCTTTGTGTTTTTCCTTTTGTAATTCATTCTTTTTACTTGTTCTAGGTGAGAAGCGCCACTGCTTTGATGTCAACTACAATCCCAGCTATATGTATGAGAAAGAGAGTGAGATAATACAAACCCGGATGATGGACCAAGCCATCAATAATGCCATCAGCTATCTTGGTGCCGAGGCACTGCGCCCCTTAGTCCAGACGCCGCCTGCTCCCACCTCGGAGATGGTCCCAGTTATCAGCAGCATATATCCCATAGCCCTTACCCGTGCAGAGATGCCGAATGGTGCCGTGCAGGACCTGGAAAAGAAACAGATCCACCTGCCAGAGAAGAGCCTACCTTCTGAAAGAGGCCTCTCCCCCAACAATAGTGGCCATGACTCCACAGACACTGACAGCAACCATGAAGAACGCCAGAATCACATCTACCAGCAAAATCACCTGGTCCCTCCTCGGGCCCGCAATGGGATACCACTTCTGAAAGAGATACCCCGCTCTTATGAACTCCTCAAGCCCCCACCCATCTGCCCACGAGACTCCATCAAAGTGATCAACAAAGAAGGGGAGATGATGGATGTGTATCGGTGTGACCACTGTCGAGTCCTCTTTCTGGATTATGTGATGTTCACCATTCACATGGGTTGCCACGGCTTCCGTGATCCTTTTGAATGTAACATGTGTGGATATCGAAGCCATGATCGGTATGAGTTTTCGTCTCATATAGCCCGAGGAGAACACAGAGCCATGCTGAAGTGAACATCTGGCCCCGGAGATGATTCACGCCTGAGCATTCCACATTGTTTTTAAAAACCGATACCCCTACCTAACAAATCACTCTCAAAACAAACTCAGTTCCAAACTCTTTTTCGTACCATTTTTAGTATCCAGAGGGTCATGCTCACGTGGGCAACAGAGAAACACTGTCTCCATTCAGAAGTTGTTTGCAGATAATGCCAATGTTACTACTTTTGTGAAACCTTTGTTTTCCCATCAGGGACTTGAATTTTATGATATTTAAAAACCAGAGAAGTATTTGGTCACTTTCTTTTGCATCAATAGGACAGGCATACCATGGAGTTTGTTGCCAATTGGAAGAGTCCCCCCATAGTGCTGCATGAAACGCTCTTGTCAGCCAAGAGTGCCAAAAGGCCATGAGCCCAGGTCCACACAGAAGAAGAGCTGGCCAGTGACCTTACGGGAAGTCTTGTCCTTCTGCATTGAACAAAAGGCGGAGAGTTAGCATCTAATCTCCCCATCCCAATTAGAGTCTAATAGTATGGAAAAGACTATCCACAAAATAACTGTCTGTTATCAGTAACTGAAGACTCAGTCTTGGAACATCAGATCCTTTTCTTATCACATAAGCAAAAAACAACAACCCGAAGTCATCTGATAATACATCTGCTTCTACTCTTTACCCTCCGTCTCCAATTAAAAGCTGCTTTGGGTTAAAGAAGTCATCTACAGGAGAAATCCTACACAGAAAAACTGATGGTTTTCAATATAGACTGTCATGGAAACTCCAGGAAGTTGTCCACTGTGGGCTATGGCATCCATTTCCTGTGATCAAGATGGGCAGAGCTGGGCCTTGGCCAGTATCTCAGTGGTTAGAGGGGCAGCCCATACACCAAAGGATCAAAGGGTCTTGGGTTCAATTCCTGGTCAAAGGCACATACCTGGGTTACAGGTTCGACTCCCAGCCCCAACAGGGGCGTGTGTAGGAGGCAACCAATTAATGTGTCTCTTTCACATTGATATCTCTCTCTCTCTCTCTCTCTCTCTCTCTCTCTCTCTCTCTCTCATTCTCCTGTCCCCTCCCTCATTTCTACTCTCTATAAAAATCAATGGAAAAAATATCCTCGGGTGAGGATTAAAAAAAAAAAAAAGATGGATAGAGCTGGGTTCTGAGGAGGAAAATGGTTTAGCAGCATCAGGGGAGAAAAAGCAACACCACCACCTACCTGAAGTTCTTTGTCTCCTTCATAGAGTATTAGTGTACAGACCCAAAGCAAACTTTCCAACCATTTAAAAACAAAAAAAAAACCAAAGAATCCAAAAAGGATAACTTCATCTCCCTCTCCCCACAGGAGAGGACTCAGGGATAGACACCATGAGTGTTTTTAGGTCAGAGCTGAGCTTCATGGTGGGGTGAGGCGGGGGCACCTCCACTGGCAGGCTCTTCGTCAGACAGGTTGTTTTTTGTCTCATTTTACATGGAGCCACTGTATTCCGCAGAAATTCCTGAATGTCTAATCTTAGTTCTGCAGATGGTTCTAGTCATCTTTACTCGTAAGAGAAGCATGCTATCAAGAAAAAGCTCTGTTATAATTGTAAAATTAACACTGGAATAGGGGTCACAGAATCTGTTTGCTAATTCCACATTTGCCCCTAATTAGCTATAGGACTTTGGGCAAATCACTTAAACTCTTAAAACTAAGTTGCCTCAACTTTTGAATAAGAGTTGGATTTAGACATTCTCTAAGGTCTCTTCCAACTTTAAATTTATGTGATTATGCCCTAACCACTTATTTTTCAAAGCTTTTAATGTATGGGTATTAAATACCTATGAATGTTTGTAAAAGTAAGCATTTATGCAGCATTAAGTATTAAGCAGAAGAATCTGTATATGAATATCTGTTTCACATATCTTTGATGTGAAAATGGTAGTGTTGTTAAGTTTTTCCTTTAACCACCAAGTTGTGAATGTGAAGAGGATGGTGGAGAGGAACAAAAAACAGGAAGGTATTTTGATCTTCCCCAAAGTGTACACACAAACTGGCACCTGCAGCTGCTTGCCAAAGCCTTTTTTATTTTTTCCTTTGTAAGAGCTTGTGTTAGGGAAAATAAATTCTGCTTCCAGGGACAATTTCACCGAGCCTATTTACAAATTAAGAGTCAGCTTCATGAACATTTCTACCAGAGCCAAGAATCCCAAATTCCTGGTAAATTTGTGTTTTATGTATCTGCCTTGATATTTCTAAAGGGTGTAAGCACTAGGCTCAGACTCGTTTATGTAATTAAAATGCTCCACCTCTGACTGCACAAATGGCTTATCCCCTCTTTGTAGCATGGCGTCTGTCTCAGGAAAAAAGATTTTGTGAAATTCCATGGCAACAGTCCCAACATGTTGGAGATTTCAGCTAAAAGACTAGATGTGTTTTGGTGTGTAGTCTTCACTATATCACTGTGTTTCCATAATCCTAGACTCCAAGCTGTGCCAGGTTCCTTATACTCATTGCTTATTATATTCTTGAAATATCACACATCCTGTTGACTCTTCAGGGGACAAAAGAAAGAATCTGGAAGCAAGGATTAGTAGGAAAGAAAGCTAGGGAAATCGAGCATTTCTGCCAGATTATTGGGAAAGTCTTCACTGGAGGCACCAACTTTTGCACCCCAAGGTAGTGAAACTGAGGCCCACCCCATCCACCTAGGGACGCTTTTTGTCTATATGACCCTCATTTTCCCTATGACTAATGGGTTTTCTGAATGATTTCCAAAGGCTGCACTTTCATTGTAATATTCTGAGCCTGGATGGGGGGCACTTTCAGTCCAGATAAAATTTATATGTGGAAGCTCCACATTCTTAAATCTTAGAGTTGAACCAGGTGGTATATAGTAGTTACCACCACATAGGTAAGCACTGCCTTCTGTAGACACTCCTACTGACTAATGACCCCTGCCATCCTCTGCTGGGGATAGTGGAAGAGGGTGAAAGAGAATCTTAGCAAGATACCCAGAGACTCCCATCTCTCCCCGATGGACAGGGAAGTCCTAAAGCAGCTTCAGGCAGCACATTTACCTTCTCAGCCAGAGCCCCTCTGGACAGGAGCCTAGTAGGTCTCTCTGCTTCATTTCCCACCAGCCCTCTTATAAGGCAGGCCTCCCACCACATACCTAGGAGGCCACAATCTGAGAAACAACCACCCCCTGAAAAGTTCCCTTGGAGCCAAAATGACATAATTGGGGTGAGGGTGGGAAAGGAAAAGAACTGCCTCCCCAAATGTTTTTTTCATTAATTGTGGCCTAGGTATGTCCTACGAGCAGAGAACTAAACGGAAGTGCCTCCCCTGTTGCCCACCACCACCATCACCAAAAAGACACGTGCCTTGGTACAGATAAGCTAGCCAATCTTAGGCTTTGTTACCTCTGAGCTGTCCTGACTCCGTTTCTGACTGTCAGTGACAAAACTTCTCACCTTTTAAATGCTTAACATTTTGTTAGGAGGCCCACCTTCATTAAGGCCCAGATATAAAATGACCTCAGACTTCTTTTGCCAAGAGAAAATTTTAAAAACACAAAATTTTACTTGGTTGAAACACTGTATTACCAAAACTCACATCAACATAAAGTTCTTCCAAATAACCTCCATATCACTATTCTTTTTATCCTTTGCTAAATGTGAGGTTTAAAATGTTTTAAGGGGAAAAGCAGTATTTTTTATATATATCCCAGGGCAGGCAATAAGACCATAATGGAAATGTCAAATGTTAAATCTTTTAAAGTTCTAACTTTTAAAGTATATCTCACTGGGAACAGGTATCTAATGGAGATTTGGAAACTCAGGGACAGTCAAGATTTGAGCCCTCAGACACGTCTAAGCTCTTTCACAAAGACTCAAAGAGTCAAAAAAGAGAAGAACATTTTGTCCTAGAACATAGCATCAGGCTGTGCAGAAGAAGATGTACAGTGATCTCTCTTGATTTTTATTGAATTTATTGGGGGTGATGTTTAATAATAAAATTATATAGATTTCAAGTGTGTAATTCCACAATACACCATCTGTATATTGTATTGTTTGTTCACCACTCAAAGTCAACTCTCTGTCACCATTTATTCCCCTTTACCCTCTTCTACCTCCCAACCCCCTTTCCCTCTGTGTTTATGATACAGAGATATCTATCACTTTTTAAAAATTGGGAACTATTTTTGTGCTCAGACAGTATAGTTCAGAGACTCTCTGTAGGCAGAGTTCAGAAAAGCAGAATAACGGGATTTAAGTGCCTATAAAGACAATTGTGACCTAAAACCAAAGGCTAGACCTGGGTCACCCTAGGAAAAGGACTCTGTTCTCTAAGGCTAAAGGACTGAACGGTTCTGAGAATGATCAGTGAACCGGGGTTGGGGACTGCTGCCTCTAAGCACTTTGGACTCGGAAGAGACATGTTGGCTTTAAACTTTCGTGAGCTCGTAACACAAGACTGCATCTGTGTATCCAAGCTGTATATAGTCTACCCCACAGGCCACCAATATGGTAAACAAATCTTTGTATGTGGGAGAAACTGCAAGTTTCCTCTAAATGTCATAATAGTGGACTGTCTTTTACTTTGAGATTGAGTTATTTGAAACTATAATGTTAATATTTTGATTAAAAAATGTAAGGTCATAATGATATCTACCTCCCAAGGATGTTGTGAGGTTTTATGTAATTTTGTGTTTAGGATAATGTTACTTTTTTTTTTTTAAGGGGCTGGGGGATTATGTTGGATGCTTGCAAATTTTTCACTGTATGTACCGTATCTGGGTTTAAAGACATGGAAAGTATTCAAGGACCATACTAGGACTATAATAATAATTCAGTTGTCAGTGGAGGCAACTGGTCTCTAACACAGTTTCCTTTATGTTGTTTTAATGTGTGAGAGTAAAGAATGTGTTGGACCAAAGTGAGTTAACCACATGCTACAGGTACTTCACGGCATTGCAGCCAGGAAAGTAGAGTAGCTTTGCTCCCTCATTGTCCTATGAACCCTCAGCCATTAATTCCCCAAGCAACTTAGAGTTTCTCCAGATGGCCCTCGCTGTCCATCTCCCCTCTGACCCACTCCAGAAAGCCTAGAGAGCTGTCCCGTGATGCCACCACCACCTCCCGAGCCTGAGCCATGCACCCGTGGGGCCTATTCCATATTCTCAATGCAAGTGCAGCTTTGCTTCTTTCTCCTTATAAAAATAGGGTGTATTTTCACATGTCAGGAAAATGGGGCAGCCTTAAACATGACTGATCCCATTGCCTGTGACTCATTCATACAAGGACTCTTCCAGGTTAGCAGACAAGGCCCTTTTCGGTGGGCCTGCTTCTGTGGGTTCACAGAAACCAAAT